GATGTCATCTCACTCCAGTCAGAATGTCAGCTATCAAGAATACAAGCAATAATAAATGTTGGAGAGGATGTGAGAAAAAGAGTATACTCATATGTTGCTGGTGGGACTGCAAATTGGTGCAAACATTTTGGAAAGCAGTATGGAGATTCCTTGGAAAACTTGGAATGAAACCAATATTTGAACCAGCTATCCCACTCCTTGATCCATACCCCAAAGTCTTAAAATTAGCATATTATAGTGACATAGCCACACCAATGTTTATAGCAGCTGAACTCACAATAGCTAAATTGTGGAACCAATCTAGATGCCCATCAATAGATGAATGAATAAAGAAATTGTGGTATATATACACAATGTAATATTACTCACCATTAAAAGAGAATAAAATCATGACATTTGCAGGTAGATGGATGGAGTTGGAGAATATTAGGCTAATCAAAGTAAGCGAAACCCAAAAAACTAAAGGCCAAATGTTTTCTCTGATTAGTGGATGCTGATCTATGATGGAGTGGGGTGCAAGGGAAGAATGGAGGAACTTTGGATTGGGCAAAGGATAGGGTGGGGAGAGGTTATGAGGGTAGGAAAGATGGTGGAATGAGATGGACATCATTACCCTAGGTACATATATGATTGCACAAATGGTGCATCTCTACACTGTATACAACCAGAGAATTAAAATGTTGTGCTCCATTTGTGTACGATGAATTGAAATGTATTTTGTTGTCATGTACAACTAAGTAGAACAAATAAAAATAAATAAATAAAATGCAATACCTCAAAAAAAGGGGAGGGGGGTTGAATTGGAGATTGACAGGAAATCTATTAGGTAAAAGTTAGGTATATAATTTAGATAAAGATTATCCCATCAAGTGAATTTCATATGTAGCTGTTCATTATATTAAACGTATTCTTACTTGGAATTCCTATTTTCCAATAGTAATTATTTGTAATGGGTGATAATGAATTATTACGTGTTTACAAAATGACTTCTAAAATCATCTAAGAGTACAATGTTTCTGGGTCTCAATTTCCTTTTATTATAAAATGAAGTGTTGAGTCAAATTTTCCATACTTTAATACTTTAAAATAGCACGCTTATATTAAAGTTATATTTGTATGGTTTTACAGTTTGGTAGTTCCTCAAAAACTAAACACAGAATTACCATATAATTCAACATTTTCATTCCTAGGTAATACCCAAAAGATTTGAAAATAGGAACTAGAGCAGATACTTATCCACCAATGTTTATAATAGTATGATTCACAATAGCCAAAGGTAGAAATAACTCCATTGTCTATCAATGAATAAATGGATAAACAAAATGTGGTATAAACATACAATAGAATATTAATTCAGCCATAGACCTATGGGACAGCTTCATCCATTAAACCTACAATTCATTCTTGTTTCGATTTCATGTGCAACAACATTCTGTTTCCTGGCTTCCCACTGAATCTTTATAGAGTAAAAATGTAACTATCATGCTGGCTGAACTTCAAACCATCTAGTTTAAGATATTTTTTTGTAAATTCAGCTTTAATGTATCAGCTATATGAGTTACGTAATCCACCCACCAGAGATCAGGAAACCAGATGAGGAAACTAAGGTGTAGAAGTAATTTTAAGTACCCTGCCCGTAAGCAGAGAAGCTGATGAGCAACTGTATTCAGGTCTTAGCCAGTATTTTTTAAATCAATCAAAACTTTACACTCTTCAGTGAGAACAAACCACAGAAAGTTTTAATTCCAGGTATTCTTAGAGTTTGTCTAATTACAAAAAAAGGCATCTGAGCTAATAAACAAGTCCCCTCATATGTAAACAATCAGGAATAAGGCCTGCTGTGGACTGCTGAGGCAGTGGGTGGTCGTGGGAGAGGAGAGCGACTGCTACAAACAGACCACACCAGGTCCCAGAGACAACTGAGAGGCTGCAAAGTCCCGTCTCACCACGAAGGAGCAGCCAGAAAATCCAGCCCAACTCTAGCCCTTCTGCAGGTAGGAGCCCTCACATCATGGAGAGGTAGGACAGGTAAGGCTCGATGCCCAAGGAATTTTCAGGAAGAAGGCTTATTGACTGCAGGGTCCAGAGGAGTTATGGCCTAAAAGTTCGCTGGACCACAAGTCTGGAAATTCTTTGAACTTTATACCTAGTAGGAGGAGGGGTTTGAAGGTTTACGTGACAAGGGCTTTTTGTTCCATTTTTTAGACTACACAGAAGAGATATTTTTTCTTTATTTTGCAAACCTGGCATTTATAAAAAAGAGGAAGCTATAAACCTGTTATGCTTTAGATGTGCTGTCCCCTAAAAGCTCACGTGTGAGCCGATGCAAGAAGGTTTGGAAGAGAAGTGATTGGACTATAGCCTTGATCTAATCAGTGAATCAATCCCTGATGGGGCTCAGTGGTAACTGTGGGCAGGTGGGTGTGGCTGGAGGAAGTGGTTCACTGGGGGTGTGACTGTGGGGTATATATTTTGTACCTGGAGGGTCTCTCTCTCTCTGCTTTCTGCTCATGATATGTGCTCCACCACATTCTTCCGCCCTGATGTTTTGCCTCACCTCAAGCCCTGAAGAATGGAGCCAGCCTTCTATGGACTCAGACCTCTGAAACCATGAGCCCCTATAAACATTTCCTCCTTACAGTTGTTCTGGGTGGGTTCTTTATTCACAGCAGCGAAAAAGCTGACTAAAACAAAAACAAACCACAATGCCCTCTGTAGAAGTTTTTGCTGATATCCTGTATAAAAATCTTTCTGACAGGAAGAGAAGATCAATTGTGTGGGGGGTGGAGGCTGGAGAAGCTTATATGTTACAAATACGACAGGGGGGTCTCTGATGGTAGGTGCTTCAGTGGCACCTACCACCCCCCACAGTCATCCACAGAACAAGCAAGTGGGAGAGTAGCAGGGCACACATTTGAGGACCTTATGATCCTCAACTGTCATACCCAAAAAGTAAGTATCTGGGGTAACAATGCTCAATCTGATCAGAACGTGTGGGGGTACAAACTACACCCAGTGGTAATTGCTCCGGTGAGCTCAGAATCCACATAGACCCATGGGACAGCTTAGTCCCTTAAACCTTCGATTCATTCTTGTTTGGATTTCATGTGCAACAAAGTTCTGTTTCCTGGCTTCCCACTGACTCTTTACAGTAACAATGTACCTGCCATGCTGGCTGAACTTCAAACAATCTAGTTTAATATATTTTTTTTGTAAATTCAGCTTTAATGTATCAGCTATATGAGTTAAGTGATCCACCCACAGAGATACATCTGTTATTAGCTTGCTAAAAATAAATAAATAAATAAATAACCCAGTGTTCTCAGTCCCTAAGACCAAGCCAGATCTTGGTCCAAGGCAGTGAATGCCATCTTCCCAGTATCCCCTGCAAGTCTTCCTTCAATAGCCCTCTTCACACTGTCTGGTTTTCTTTCTCCTCCTCCTGCAAGAATTATCTTCCATGTATAAATATACCGTAATGAATTCCACCTTTATACGTATCTGTAAAGCACCAATTAAAAATAAATAAATAAAGGAGTTGAAGGAAGACCAGCAGAATAGAAGAAAGGGAACAGGAGGAGGGAGGAAGGGGAAAGTGGAGTGGAGTGAATTCCATGCATGGACGATTCTGTCCAAATGAACCCAACTATTGCATAGAACTATAATGCACTAGTAAAGCATAAAAAGAATTACCTGCAAGATAGTTATAAAAATTGAATGAGATAAAAGTAATTGTGTTGATCAAACCAATTGCAAATGACAGATACATGTACATTTTCCCCCACCCCCATCTCTAGATTTTATTAATACTGATTAAAAAGTTAGAATCAGAAAACTTCTATTCATACTAGATTACAGAAATTTTTTTATATACTCTGTGAAACCATACCAGTCCTGTGAGTGCTGAGAGAAACAATTTTTCTCCAAATTCTCAGATACTAAAAAATAGGCCCTTGGGCTGGGGATGTGGCTCAAGTGGTAGCGCGCTCGCCTGGCATGCGAGCGGCCCAGGTTTGATCCTCAGCACCACATACCAACAAAGATGTTGTGTCTGCCGATACCTAAAAATAAATATTAAAATTCTCTCTCTCTCTCTCTCTCTCTCTCTTAAAAAAAAAAAATAGGCCCTTTAGTTCAAGACTATTTTAGGGTGTAGCAAAGGGAATGGGCTCCTAAAAAATACCTATCAGAGGCCAAAAGGAGCAAAAATAGAATTCGTACCAATAAAATGAGGCCATATAAGTAAAAAAAAACCCTGTATAAACTACCCCAGACCCAAATATATGAAAGAAAATTAGTCCAATATTGTAAATTGCGTTAGGAAGACACAACCAAACTCTCTCAGTTTCACTATGATTACAAAAGTAGTATCAAAAGAATAACCAATGACTGTTATAAGGAGCGATAAAAATGTTTGGGCTGGCTGGGCGTGGTGGTACACACCTGTATTCCAGCAGCTCAGGAGGCTAAGGCAGGAGGATTGAAAATTCAAGATCAGCCTCAACAATTTAGTGAGGCCCTAAGCAACTTCTGAGACCCTGTCTCGAAATAAAATATACAAATGGGCTGGAAATGTAGCTCCATGGTTAAGCCCCGCCCCGACCCCCATTCAATCCTTGGTACCAAAAAAAAAAAAAAGGTCTGGGCTGACTAGTGTTCTGAAGTGATCTCTGAGAGCAGGAAACTGGTGATACAATCCATCTTGAGAGTTGCTTCACTTGTATTACCACTGTTATGAAATGATTCAACTTTTGCAACACCTTTCTCACATAAGCCAAATTGAAAATACAAAACAACCAACATACAGAAAGTTCTATTTTCTGCTCATCTGCATTTGTTCTCCCCTGACTGTGGCTGAGAGTTGAGATTTTATGTTGCAATTACAGTTTTCTCCTTTTGGAGCCGTTGGCAGCTTTAATCTTCCACAGTGGAGGGCGTTAAAAAAAACCGACACAATGGAAAGCTACATTCCCCATCAGGATAAGGAGAAGAATGCATACCTCGTTCAAATTTTAACCTCTGATAAAGCTGAAACTGATCCACAGGTACCAAACAGGCAATCTGAAAACAGAGATATGGGAGAGGTGAGATTGAATCACTGCAGGCCCTGGAGTTAGCAGCCATTTATGATTTCTCTTCCTGGCTTTGCCTACGATTTTCTCCCTGTACCAGTGTTTGCAAACTTCTTTTTCTCGACACTGTTCACGCAGAAACACCTGCAGCAATTCTCAAATAATCCTCGTCTCCTAGCACAGCTAGGACACACTGTCAAGGCTTCAATTATGAAATGAACTAGCAGCATAACTAAGAGCAGACAACCAAAATTTATTTGGACTTCCCAAATTATTTGTCTATATATATGAATGATGCTGCTTTCTTTCTACATTCAGTTACAAAAATTCAAAAAGATTATAGTTTTAGACCAGTGGTGCTGAGGAAACGGGAGGGGGAGGGGAAGGGGAAGGTACTGGGGGAAGGAAATGGATCCAACCATGTTATGTACATGTATGAGTACATCACAGTGAATCCCCACCATTATGTAGAACCATAATGTACCTTTAAAAAAAAAAAATACTGGTTCTAGCTTTGGACCCTTAAAAGCTAAGGTCAGGTTGACAGTGCCTCAGGAATTATAAAAACAGCATTTGTCACCTAGGAAACAGTATCTTCCAAACAACAACAAAAAATTATTCCTGACAAAAATCACTCATGGAGCCCTTAGTCACCACACACTGACATCCCAGACCCTGGAGACAAAGAAATGCCTAAGGTACTGCTTATGGCTAGACGTCTATTTCCATTTCAGATGTACAGTGAACCAAAGGTTTACCAGTGAACAATGATTCATACCTAACCAAGTGACATTTCAGATTAATTATTTTAAATTGTATTTCAAAGGCCTATGCAGGAAAAGCTAACCACTCTTAGAGTGGCATTCTAAAAATATTAATTCCATTGACGTCAAGATACAAGTATACTAACGTTTCTTAAAAGATTTATAGCTGAGAAAATAAAAGAATTTGCTATTAGCCTTCCAGACATCAGCAATACAGGACAGTCTTGACGATTCCTCTAAATTATACACAAATATATACATACACATACACATGCACATATACACACATACATGCCATGTATGCACACACATTTTTATAAGTGTTTTTGATATAAAATGTATCTGGATGGAAATTCTTTCAACTAACTAAAGGAAGTCAGCTTTGAGAAAACCAGAATAAGATAATGCAGCTAAAATTACATCTAAAAACATATAATACATTTAGAAATGCATTAGAAATCTAATCATTCCCCTCACAAAAATAATTTCAATTTGTTTATTTTGCAAATGAACAAACTAAGTTTTTAATTAAAACGTGTGAAGAACCACAACTCAGTTCTATCTCCACTATTCCAAGTGAAGTAGGGTAAAACAAATTTAATTAATTATGAACATTTTTTTTCTAATTTTTCTTTCTCCAACTGGGGACAAAGTATGGTATATTCCCATTTGGTACCTTAAACAAACACTCCTTAGTAATTCTTGTAAAAATGTTAGGGTGAATTTTATGTGATATCTATTTTGTCACAGTTCTTTTTAATTGGACTTTCATTATGTTGAAAACCACCTTTGTTCATTTGTTATAATACCACCCAAAAATCCTTCCTGAAAGATGAAAGTTCTCAAATAAAACTTGGAATTGGAGATAGAAGGTGCAGTAAGTGAAATGGCAAGAGACACTAAAGAATTGGAGTCCACTTTCTGACTTTGTCATTGATCTTTGTATAAAGAACCAATTGCTACTGACTTAAACTTTTGTACCAAGTTGTTTTGAGGATGATATCATCTGGGTCCAAGAGACCTCTGTCACATTCCATGATCAACAAGCCTCAGCTATTTGAAGCCATTGATTCTATAGACAGTCCTATTCCCCACTCACCTCCATCTAAAGTAGTTTGTGAACTGGTAAAGAACTTCCTTAAGTCCTTCAAAGTCAACCCCTAAAAATTTTCATTTTTCAATGATGAGCAACTTAGATAACAGTTAACTTAAATGCAGTTTATGACACAGGCAAATTGAAGATATTTTATATAGTTTGACTGTGAGGTGTCCCCCAAAGGCTCATGTGTGAGACAATACAAGAAGGTTTAGAGGAGAGAGCATTGGTCTATGACAGTCTTAACCCTATTAGTGAATTAATCAACTCATGGGACTGAGTGGTAGCTGAAGGCGGATAAGGTATGGCTGGAGGAAGTGGGCCATTGGGGGTGTGCCTTTGGGGTACATATTTTGTATCTGGCAAGTGGAGACCTTGCTCTGCTTCCTGATCATCACATGAGCCGCTTCCCTCTGCTCCACTGTTCCGCCATGATGTTCTGCTGACCTAGAGCCCCGAGGAATGGAGCCAGCTCTCTATGGGCTGAGACCTCTGAAACTGTAAGCCTTCAAATAAACTTTTCCTCCTCCACAATTGTTCTTGTTGGATTATTTAGTCACAGCAGTGAAAAAGCTAACTAAAAAAATGTTTCAGACACAAATGAAATGCCAATGAGAAAAACAATAGAAATTAATGCAGTAAAAAAATCACCAACAGTAGGAATGGATGTTTACAAACATAAATTTCATCAAAGTTCTTATTACTGCCAATGGGAAAGTCATACATCTTTAATTTTTTGGCCTCTTCCTCTACTTTGGATCTCCTTTATTATTTCCTAACTCAAAGGTTCATATGGAATAAAACCTTAATAAGGTAAATCAAATTTTCCATTACAATCTGTGATCATGAAAAGTTATTTCTACCATGGCTCACTATTTCATCCTTTGGGAATAATGGTAATGCCCAGAACACACCCTTCTCTCTGTTGTGTAAACTTGCATCTTCTCCATAGCTAGGTGATGGTCTGCTATGGGCAAAGCACTGCATGATGCCTGGCCATGCCAAAGAGACAGGGGTTGTGCTTAAGGAACTGAAATTGCCCACACACAGGATGGAGAAAGAATTTATACCGGGATCTTGTCATCAGTTGGATTTTTCAGATTAGGACTAATTTTCTAAAATACTTTTATCACACTTGTGGCTTTAGATAAGGAAAAGCTGGAGCTATTTAAAGATAGCAGATGATGCAAAGTATTGAATTCATAGTTCCACTGCCATTTGAAGCTATTGTTCAAAGTCTCCATTTCTACAATTATAAGGTTGAAATAACCCTATTAGAATGATATTGAAGACTCAATCGGGCTGCAGGTAAAGGGTTAGAATCAATTTTTTGAGGGTATTCACAAATACCCTCAAAAAATCAGACTAGATAAGACTAGAGAATAATAAATAAGATAATAATAAATAAGATTACAAAGAAGTGTCTTGTAGGAATGGAGATATAGCTCGATTGGTAGAGTGCTTGGCTTGCACGCAAAAAGGCCCTGAGTTCAATCCCCGGCACCACCAAAAAAAAAAAAGTGTCTTATAGTATACCCTTATCCTGTCTCTACCAACAAAGAAAGACCAAATCATCCAAAATCACACTAGAACATCTTTTTTTTTAACTTTTTATTTTGAAATAATTTTAGATTCATAAAAAGTTGCAAAATTTGTAGAGTACCTAAATGTCATTCCAACTTCCCCTAGAGAGCACACCTTATATAACCATACCTACGGAAATAATAAAATTTACATTGATATGTACAATTAAATCATCAGCAGGCCCAGTAACGTCTTTTTTCAGTCCAGGATCCAATCCTTGTACCTAGGTGCAGTATCTCCCTTGCCTTCTGTGACACCTCCTTAGTTTATGAAGACCTGACATGTCCGAAAAGCCCAGGTCAGTTATTTGTATGATATTCTTCCATTTGGACTTGTCTGATGCTTTCTCATGATTAAAGGAGTTGTGTATTTTTACAAGAATGCCAAGTATGATCTTGGAGCCATCAGGAGGCACATGAGGACATGGTTCAGGACTGTGATGTCAACATCCTAACTAGGTTGAGGCCAGGTTTCTCCACCCTTTGTAATTCATAAGTATCCTGTAGGGGGTGTTTTAACTTAAGATCTTTAAGATACAAGGACAGAGATGGAGATAGTTTATTACTTATAGGTCCTGGGTGGTGGGGGACACAAGCATGATGGGAAGATACACACAGAGGACAGGGAGAGAGAGGGACCCATGGGAAGACACCTTCACTGGGGCCAGGGCATTATCAAAACAGGTTTCACATGAAGAGTTTTGACTGGTGGATTTAAAGAAAGCAGGCAGAGCTGGGTGCAGTGGTGCACCACTATGGCTATTCAAATAGGCTGCATCTAGCTGTCCCACAGGGAGGTGGTTATCAGGAGGAAGCTGTATACAGGAGATTTCTGGAAGGACCACATTGAGGAACTGAGAGGAGATGTAGAGCTAGAATCCTATTGTGTCAGGGTGACTAAGCCTTCTTTCTGGTATGAGAAAGTCCAACTTGTATTCACAATGGATGCTAAGGCAACAAGAAATTATAATAATAATTTACTGCGGGGGGGATACTTGATTCAAATTCTGTTTCTCATCACAAGTTCACCCGCTAATTTTAGTTTCTAGTGACAATTTATTCTTCCCCCAAAATGTTAATGTAATATTTGCTTAATGATGATTTTTCAGTTTCCACCATTCATTCAATATTTGGTGATTAGAATTCTGCTGTTGGGTTAGATAGGAGCAAAAAAGTCTGGTATGCTATGGCACCAGTTAAAAATAAATTCAACTTATTGGAATGGAATCACCATTTGACCCAGATATCCCACTCCTTGGTTTATACCCAAAGGACTTAAAAACATCATCCTACAGGGACACAGCCACATCAATGTTTATAGCAGCGCAATTCACAATAGCTAAACTATGGAACTAACCTAGATGCCCTTCAGTAGATGAATGGATAGGAAAACTTTGGTATACATATACAATGGAACATTACTCAGCATTAAAAGAGAATAAAATCATGACATTTGCAGGTAAATGGATGAAGTTGGAGAATATAATGCTAAGTGAAGCAAGCCAATCCCCCCAAACCAAAGACCGAATGTTTTCTTTGATATGAG